TTCATGTCAATGAAAGTGTGCTTGTCATAAAAAAAGTCCTGACACCATTGTTTATGAACAAGATAGTCAAGTGGCTTTGTCATGTTTTCATTATGACACTTTACTCTCTAAGTGTTTTCCAATGCAAAAAAGTCAGATCTTTGTGACAGTACCTGAAAATGCTCAAGACAGCACTATTTGCACAGCCATTTGAAAACTACAGTAAAAGTTACACATTACTGCATTTAATAAGGTAACTGAGTACAAGACACTGACCCTTTGGCTAGAGCTGTGCACAAACAATATTATAGTCCATTGGAATTGTTCAATTTAGGTGACATTGTCTGGAAAAAAAAGTGATAAAGAAATGTATAAAATTTGCTTGACAGATTTTGACAACTAGTTGAACATGTTTGTATGTAATGACACAAGCAACTAAATGAGGACTATTAGTTTTATAGGGAATGACTATTCAGTATTCATAAGTATAGTTCATTTTGACTGACATGACATAAACAAATGATGTTATAAAACAGCAGAGAATTGTATGAAAACAATTGATGCATGTCCAAAAGCATTTGCAATTTGTTAGAAGGAATGAGAAACTGCTGCTATGATGTGCACAAATGACTCAGTGTTGTGGAGGTTGAACTAACAGTTATGAGACTTTTAATTCTGATCAGAGAAATGCACCAAAACAACTGAGAAAAAATATAATATTTGAGAGCTGTAAAATAGCCTGAGCACTTTTACTGAAGCCTCAAATTGGACAATTTCTGACAATAACCATCCTTTCCTATCCTATCTCTCCTCGTCTTGTACTCCAGATCAAAATATGTATACGTTTATAAACATTTTCTGTGCAGCTATTATACTTTTAAGGTATTTGACCCTTAATAATTCAAAATCATCAGACAAAACTAATGCTTTAGTCTTTACACCCAAAACAGTTCATGTTTTTCTCCTGTTGTATGTAATTGGATACTTTACTAAATGGTTGTAAATGTATTTTCTCCATTAAAAAGAGTAAGAACAGACTAAACACTACACTCTGCTCTCAGAAAGCTTCATGGGCCACTTTGCAGGTAAAGCATTGCATGAAGAAATGACTGCTTGACTTTATCAATAAAGGTAACACATTCACATTCAATGTAAAAACGTTTTTTACTTTGTTTTGGACATGTCTCAAAAATATAGCCTCAGGGCTGCCAACTTTTGACTTCAGCTTGGAGTGAGATTTGTTCAAAAAACATGTAATTTAAAACAATTTTCCTGCATTTCTACACCACCTAACCTCTTGGATTAAGACAAGACAGAGCAACCATGTATAATGTTAACCAAAAATGTAAAATTGTAGATTTCAGCATTGAGGTAGTTACATACATAATCCAGACTAAAATCCATGGCCCCGAGTGTCTGTCGCTAGTGCGCATCTTAATGTGTCGGGGAGTGAGGTTTTACGCACTGCACTGTCTGCTGGCTACCGCTACACATAGGTATGCCAACCTAAAAACCTATTATTGGGAATCCTGAGAAAGCGACAGAGACACAGAGCATTCCCGTAACCATAGTAACTCACTCGCTCCTGCCTCTGTGCGCACGACATGAGAGGAGAGGAAGAGACGCTGACTGAGATTACTCAGAGCAGCATGCATGGGAATAAATTACAATATAATAGATATCTGTATATTTCCTGCTTTCCCCCTGATGACCTGAATAACACGGTGCTGCTGCTGCGTTTTGCTGCTCTGTCTTGTCTGTCCGTGCGCTGTCAGTATCCTCTTTTCACGCCACAATGTTATCAGTTATGAATTTAGTTTTCACTGCATGAGAAAATGGACATGTGGAGTGAGAGCGTGTGAAAAGTGTCAATTGAATGAGTCTCACGGTCAATGCGTGAGAGTTGGCAGATCTGTTAAGCCTAGCCAGCCCCAGGCTAACGTTACTTACCATGTCTGCCTCCACTCGCTCATCATCGGTCACGGACAAGATCACCACCGGCTCCCGCTGCTGAGTCTGACCCGGCCCCCCTCGCTCATCTCCCGGCGCAGCACCTGTTGCTGCTGGGGTGGTAACAACGGCCCCAAATAGGTCTGTAAATTTTGCACACTTAGCAGCCTCCACCTCGAGAGATTTTAGCTTTTTAGTCCTCTGTTTCTCAGCGCCACCTGGGCGTTTTTTTCTTCCTGTCCAATTTCGTTGTCTTTTTAGTACTGGGCTAGTAGCGTAGCAAGCTAAGTTAGCGAACAGCCTATGAGGTCCCGCCCCACCCTGGCTCGTGTAGTGATTGACAGCACTGTCAGGGCTCTCTGAGCCTGTCAGCCCATGATTGATTGACAATGATAAACAATAGACCAATAATATGTGTTGATGGCCGCTGGCAACACACTGCAGTGCTAGCCCTCTGTAGCCAATGATGAGTGGCTGGCCGGCCCAATTGGAGGGGGTTTAGAAAAAAAAAGAAACTTGCACCGGCCCAGATAGGCTGTCTAATAAGCCATGTCAAAATAATAATTTAAAAAAAAAAATGTAGCAGACCGGACTGGCCCACATTGGGTCAACGGCCCACCGGGATGATGCCCGGTATGCCAGATGGCCAGTCCACCCCTGAATACCGGTAACTAAAATAACAATCAAACTTAAATGTGGCAATAAAAGTCGGGCTTGGTCTTCAATTCTCAGGTCAGGGCAGCATTTCTACCTCAATTTAATGCATGGATGTATAAAGAGAACAGGATACACCATTAGGGGTGGGACCCTGTTCATTCCTATGAAAGATGCTCAATGGCCCGTGAAGACAGAAAACTTCAACGGAGGCATATGAAATTGCCTGGATGATCGGACGTGCTTACGCATTGTGTGGCCCATATAGCAGGCGTACAAGAGACTTCCAGCAATGGAGTCAGCTACTCCTGATTTAGCCACCGCTAACTTGAATAGGGATAAAATGATTTTATCGTGCGGCTCTTCTAAACTTTGCAAATGATGTCACACCAAATGGATTAAATCCCAATGTGAAATGAGTCATTTCGCGGGGATATGAAGCTAAAAAAAAATGTATCCACTGATTTAAAAACATCTCTTTTGCCATGTAAGTAAATGGGGAAAAGGGTTTTCTAGGCCACAGGGCAGCACTTGATGGTGTAACTAAACTGATTGGCCACTATAAAAAAAATTTGCTTCAAAGCTCGTACATTTCCTGGGGGCCTGGTCTAATGCCTGTGCAGGTCTTTTGTTCCTAGAATTTCTGCACAGTAAACTACATACCTAACACTTGGGAATACCAACGCTTTCTATTCTGTGATGTTTTGAAAGAAGAGGACATAGATCCCAACATTTCCAGCTTTATCTGAACAGGCTGCTCACCGGCTGTTGTGTTAAAGACAGTTTATGCTTAAATATTTCCCATTGGGATTAATAAGTACACTCGACATGATGATGATGATGATGATGATGATGATGATAGCAGGAGTTAACTGTAGCCAAAATGGAAAAAATGGAAAAGGATCATTGAGAGATTTTTCTACTACTCTTGGAACTGCATTTGGTGATTTTGGCATATTGACCTGGTGTATTGTACATAAAGATTTTTCCTAGTACAGTACAGCCTTATATAGGCTAGTGGAAAAACAACCTCCATCCATTGCAATTAAAAAATGTGTCTTTACTGCCATATCAGAGGATAGGTTCTAGTCAATTCTTTTAAGACCATTGTGCATGTTTTTTTCTTAGTGGCACTTGACGCTGTCCTCCTCCATATCAGAATGGGAGAGACTTGGAGTTGGAGATGGAGGAAAATGTGAAAGAGCAGGAGAGAAACAGTCAGTGGCTGCAGCCTTACTCATGTGAATACCGATTTGGCTACAGCTTACCTCTGGGACGCCTGCAGCAAGCCAATTACCAAGCCTCAGTCACAGAGAGAGAAAGACAGAAACACAGATTGACTGAAGCAAATAATACATTTCAGCCGCAGTTCTAGCTTCAGCTCCAATTCCACCCCGTTATTCATTTGCCACAAAATCTTAACAGCACCTGGCCCTCTCCTCTTTAGTATTTCTCACTTCTCTGCTCCCCTCCAAGCACCTTGATTCCACAAAAGACTACAGGCTATGAGTGCAGCACCAGAAAGGGAGGAAGAAAAGGGATAAAAGCGGTTGCTAAATAATCCCATTTAACTCTGAAATGTGCACTGCTGCTTTTATTCTTGACACACAGCGAGCAGGCCTGGTTCAAGCCGAGTGTGGGTTGAATTGGCAAATAGAGTAAGCAGAGAGGGAGAGAGACATGTTTTGAAATGAGGCTTGAAAGGCAGCCCAGTTTGCAGCTTAGGGAATCGCTAAATGTCTGCTGGGAACGATGGAGAGAGAGAGAGTGCAAGAGATAGGGAGAGGAGATGAAAGAGTGGAAAGGAGTCAAGTAGATGGAGGGAGCAGGAGCTGGCAATGTTATGAAAGGTACAGATAAAGAAGGGGAGGGGAGGGAGAGAGTGACGGCAGGTGGGTCAATGTATATAAAACTGTAGGAAGTGAGGAAAAAGATGAAGGGAAGGATAGAGGGAAAGGTAGCAATTTTCACACACATCCACTCCTCAAAGGGAGAGGAGTGGATGTGTGAAATCCAGAGATGTGGAAACAGCCTGCTGTGAAATTTTTCCTCAGCCATCTCAGCAGTTTCTCTCAGCTCATTAGGAGTTAGAAAGGGTAAAGTCCAGGCATGATCTATTTCTTTTTTCCCCTCCTCTTTCATCTTCTTCTCTTCCTCTTCCTCCTCCCTTTCCAATCTACCATCTAACCAAGTCATGCTGTACACTGGGAGCTGTGATTACATCTTGAGTTCCTGATCATGTGGATTTTAGGAAGTGATATATAAAGTTGATATAGATATTGGCCATTTGTTTTCTGATAAGAATATATTTCTCGTTTGATGACTAAAGTTCTTCATCTGTGATATGATGTTATGACATTGTATTGATATTATGTAAAAAATCTCTTGATTAAGGGTCCTCTGTTTGGTTTTCTCAGGTGAGGCTGACCTTGATGCTGTATGTGAAGCCTGCCTGCCCTACCTGAGCTGCAGACAACCAATCAGACTGCAGGAAGCCAGCTTGAGGTGAGCCCTTATCCAGGTCCTTCCATCTTATGCTATACAGTATATTGTATAATTTCACTTTAATACAGTACCTTGAAAATACTGATATTCGATACCATTTTAAATACCATGGGGAAAATTTTAGTTTAGGGCATAAAATTAAGTCTGTAAGATAACAACAATGAATTCTTGTTTAGCAGCAGAGAACAGCAGAATGACTGTGGTAAACATTAACAAGAGAGAGCGCAGCACAACTTGTACTCGTGTATCAGTACTGCGAAAAATGAGTATTGAAACATTTCAGATATTCAGGATCAATATATATAGATAAATTGATATTTTTCACAACACCAATACACCTCAGTACCTCAGTACATGTATTTGACTGCTGTAGTTACTTAGCTGACTAAGATTTGACATATTAATAATGACATATTCTGTTGTTTTGTCTTCCTCAACCCTTCCCCAACCGTATATTAGGTAGTCAAAATGAGCTTCACCTTAACCAGTCCATCTTTAATACTGCTTTAATGCTGCTTACATGTTAAAGGGAAAAACAAAACAAAAGTATTTCTAACCAAAACATATTGTGTGTATCATTGAGACAGATTGAACATGCACCCTCTATTTAATAAGGAAGGAATAAAAGATTATGTTTTCAAAATCTTTCAAATCCCACATTGTTTATTTGTATCTGTGTTTTCTGAAGTACGGCCACCAACTATCAATCAGCAGAATATCCAAACAGACCCGCAGCATGAATGTGTACTGCGTCCATCACGCATGTGCTGTGCCCCTCAGGCTGAATCCAAATGTCAAACCTTCAGACTTGTGGTCTAGTCCCTGTTTGGCCCTCAGTCATACTGTGGCATGTTTGAAGTGCTCACCGTCACTGCGTCAAGTCTGTAAGGGTGCTGCTGCAACTAATTATTTGTTTTATTATCAATTAATCTTCCAATTATTTTCCCAATTAATACATTGAGCATTTGGTCTGTAAATGTCAGAAAATATTGAAAGATTACAATTTCTCTAAAGCCCAAGGTGAAGACTTCAAATCACTTGATCTGTCTGACAGTTCAGCACTCAACAATATTCATCCCCTTGCAGCACTTATTCTTATGAAATTATTAAATGATTATCATCATTGTTGTCAAATAATAATATTATGCTAAACACTCTTAAAGTAACTTTATATTTAACTGTTTGTTAGCTGTGGTACACATTAAAAATGCATACAGTACAGGCCAAAAGTTTGGACACACCTTCTCATTCAATGCGTTTTCTTTATTTTCATGACTATTTACATTGTAGATTCTCACTGAAGGCATCAAAACTATGAATGAACACATGTGGAGTTATGTACTTAACAAAAAAAGGTGAAATAACTGAAAACATGTTTTATATTCTAGTTTCTTCAAAATAGCCACCCTTTGCTCTAATTACTGCTTTGCACACTCTTGGCATTCTCTCCATGAGCTTCAAGAGGTAGTCACCTGAAATGGTTTCCACTTCACAGGTGTGCCTTATCAGGGTTAATTAGTGGAATTTCTTGCTTTATCAATGGGGTTGGGACCATCAGTTGTGTTGTGCAGAAGTCAGGTTAATACACAGCCGACAGCCCTATTGGACAACTGTTAAAATTCATATTATGGCAAGAACCAATCAGCTAACTAAAGAAAAACGAGTGGCCATCGTTACTTTAAGAAATGAAGGTCAATCAGTCCGGAAAATTGCAAAAACTTTAAATGTGTCCCCAAGTGGAGTCGCAAAAACCATCAAGCGCTACAACGAAGCTGGCACACGAGGACCGACCCAGGAAAGGAAGACCAAGAGTCACCTCTGCTTCTGAGGATAAGTTCATCCGAGTCACCAGCCTCAGAAATAGCAAGTTAACAGCAGCTCAGATCAGAGACCAGATGAATGCCACACAGAGTTCTAGCAGCAGACCCATCTCTAGAACAACTGTTAAGAGGAGACTGCGCCAATCAGGCCTTCATGGTCAAATAGCTGCTAGGAAACCACTGCTAAGGAGAGGCAACAAGCAGAAGAGATTTGTTTGGGCCAAGAAACACAAGGAATGGACATTAGACCAGTGGAAATCTGTGCTTTGGTCTGATGAGTCCAAATTTGAGATCTTTGGTTCCAACCGCCGTGTCTTTGTGAGACGCAGAAAAGGTGAACGGATGGATTCCACATGCCTGGTTCCCACTGTGAAGCATGGAGGAGGAGGTGTGATGGTGTGGGGGTGTTTTGCTGGTGACACTGTTGGGGATTTATTCAAAATTGAAGGCACACTGAACCAGCATGGCTACCACAGCATCCTGCAGCGACATGCCATCCCATCCGGTTTGCGTTTAGTTGGACGATCATTTATTTTTCAACAGGACAATGACCCCAAACACACCTCCAGGCTGTGTAAGGGCTATTTGACCAAGAAGGAGAGTGATGGAGTGCTGCGGCAGATGACCTGGCCTCCACAGTCACCGGACCTGAACCCAATCGAGATGGTTTGGGGTGAGCTGGACCGCAGAGTGAAGGAAAAGGGGCCAACAAGTGCTAAACACCTCTGGGAACTCCTTCAAGACTGTTGGAAAACCATTTCAGGTGACTACCTCTTGAAGCTCATGGAGAGAATGCCAAGAGTGTGCAAAGCAGTAATCAGAGCAAAGGGTGGCTATTTTGAAGAAACTAGAATATAAAACATGTTTTCAGTTATTTCACCTTTTTTTGTTAAGTACATAACTCCATATGTGTTCATTCATAGTTTTGATGCCTTCAGTGAGAATCTACAATGTAAATAGTCATGAAAATAAAGAAAACGCATTGAATGAGAAGGTGTGTCCAAACTTTTGGCCTGTACTGTACATTGACACAAAAAAATATACTATATATCTATATACTTGGAATCGTTCACTATGAAAACAAAGCTTTGAATTTAATCGAATACTTAATTATGATCATTTAAAAAAATATTAAATACTATGTAGATGTAGAAAAAAACAGCCAACATGTATAACAGATTTACATTGTGCAACATACATTAATATTTCTTGTCCAAAGAGTATTTAGAAGCAAACTGCTTGTCTCATCCTACCCCTGTTCTGTTCTAGCTCATCAGCACACAATCAGTCCCATAAACCAGTTCGTCTCCCCAGCGCCCAACCCTTACAACTAAACCACTCTGTTCATGCTCTTCACACGTACATACACATGTAATCAACAATACTACCCAAAAAAAGAAAAAGGAAACCAATAATAACAATATCACCCTTAGCATGCTTTACATTCACCTTCCTCATTTCTGTACCTGCAAAAATGATTTCTTTGTACATCTTTTTTAACTGTCTGATGTTTTTACTTTGATTTCTTCCTCTTGTTAAATCTACAGTCACCGGTCTACAGCTGGCTGCCCTTTATAATTCATGTTACTGGGTGGAAGTCAATTTAAGAAAGTAAACTGATTGATTTGCCTGCTGCTCAAGGCAGCTCATATTTAACCTAAAATAAAGCAGTGGCTGTACGTTTAATGAATCTGTAGGTCATCAATTGAGGATGTCATTCTGTCATCATTTCCATAAATAGACCCACAAGCCGGTGGGAAACAACATATGCACCATAAATAAAAAGAAAAAAAGGCCATTATTTCGAAAACCCCTTTGCCACCAACATGGAAGCTGTTCCGTTATGGTTCTTGAGCCTAATTGATCTGGTCAGAGCATTTCGACCAAAAATAAATTGGTTCAGAAGCTGAAAAGTTTTTTTTGGCTGGAAGTTTTTTTATGAATCTTAAATGTGAACCATGACAACATCAGTGGACATGTCATATTCTACAGGCTGGAAAGAGAGGAACAAGAAGGCAAAAATGGAGAAGTCAAGTGAGAAATCGTAGGGGAACAAAAGAGCATGCAGTGGTCTCATTAATAGTTCAATCAGGAGAGGCTCATTCTGAAAGAAAAGAATATTTACATGTGCTCATAAGTATGAGAAATGTGAAGAGTCTTTGGTGATTAGACCCCATCGTGATGACATATTCCAGGAGGGTGGTAAAGAGATGAGCTTGTCCTTGGCTCTGGATAAGGTGACTAGAGTTGAATGGGGTGGAAGAGGGTGCGCCAATCCCGCCTAAAATGACAGCTGACAAGTGCAGCGAGGAGAACAGATTTAAAGTTTGGCAGAAGCAACATGAATGGCTGAAGAAGATAACCGGGAGAGGGAACGCCCAAGTCAGCTGATTGGAGGACGTGGTGGGAGTGGGATAGAGGAAATGGATAGCATAAAGTCTTCCTGGTTGAACTTACACTGAGCTTCATTTGGTCCATGCATTTTTTTTAAATATATAATAACAAATATATGTAATAAAAGCTTGCAGGTTATGAATATAACCAGCCATTTTTGGTACTGCAGTTTACTTCCATTGCACATCATGCAACACAACAGACAACACCAAAATTTCTAGAATCCTAAACAGAACTCATCCAAGAACCACAGCCAAGTTGGTGCAAAAGGGGTATCAGTGTGTCATGTTACGGAGCTTTGGTTCTTAAATTGGATTTTACTATCATTTTTGCCTTGAGATGTTTTTGGGACAACACCTGTTGTAATCTGCAAAAGAGCTTTAAAAAACATTATTAAGTATACTTCAGCAGCCAGTATACTCCATCAGAATTGTTTGAGGGATGGTCATAAACCTTTGCAACTCTCTCCCTCCATACCTTTCCAACATCAGATTAACAGGGAGGCTGCATTCGTTACGAAACAGGTGATCCAATATTTACACTTTTCATAGTAAAATAGGTCAGCTGTGCAGAGGTGATAGAGCAGCCAGGGTTTGAACTTCTCTCTCTATCTCTCTGCCTTAATTTGTTACAACTATTTCTGTCACTTTGTGTGTGAACAAAGATGCAACAGTATGATTGTCTTCCAGGAGAGACTGTATCAAAGTATGTGTATTTAAAGTGTTTCGGAACAACCATAAACACTATGAGCTTCCAGCGTGGTCTGATAGCATGTCTAAGAACTAGCTTTGATTTTATACCTTGGCCTTAAAGTACTGTACATGGTGGAGGTAATAATGACGGAAAAAGATGAAGCTGAGTTTATAGTCAAACTGCAGGACTGCGCACTAAGATGAGTGAATGTGCTATGTGTTGCTCAATCTGTCACTCTGGATTAAAGGAAGGTGTTTTTACATACCATAGATGTGATGCACCATAGCAAAATATAGCCCAGAGCTAATCCTCTTCCCATGTACTCCTCTCCACAGCGTTTTCCATCACTTAATCCAGGTGGATCCGGATGCCTTCTGGTTTACTCTGAATGAGCTGCACTGCCCGTCCTCCTACATCCCGTCCCACCCCGACCTCCAGCCTGTGCAGCTAAACGGGATGGGCCGACCCAGAGACAAGTATTCGGACAACGTTCTGAAGCTGCTGAGAGAGGAGTTTGGCTCAGTTGCAGAGACAGTCAACCAGCCAGTCGGCTAATGAGCTGAGATTGATGTGATTGACTCGTCTCTCACGTGGACGGCTTATTGAACCGCTGACTCCAACAAGTCAGTTCACTGAAAGGAAAATCTGACAATTGTGCCAAAAAGCAGCCATCAGATACGGTTGTGATAACCTTCCCGCCCTACACAGCTCTGATAAGCAGCGAGGTACAAAGGGAAAATGTCAGTGAAGCATCTCGCTGCTGCTGCAGGTGTAGCACCACTTCTGACAGGTCTTTTGCATTGGGAGACATGCAGTCACAGTGCGGATGTTTTTTATTTCATGTGAAGGCACTGACATGTACTGTATGCAAATGTTACGTTTGTTATTCCTTTTGTTTCTTTGTTTTCTTAAGAAATACCATATTCATACTTGGAACTACTTTGCTGGGCTGAATTACTCAACCTTTAGTTTCAGAGTAGTCCTGAACACATGGGGCTTTTATACAGATTAACATGGCCGTTGGTGACTCAGATAAAGAGATTTAATTGTGACCTTAAAACATTCTTCATGAGGTGTCAAACATTCTGCACTTGTGTTGAGCCTCAAAGTCAGTATGAAAGTATGAGAAAGCTCAAATGTCTGGCCAGGTTTATAATCTTTTTGCTTTTAAGTCTTTAATGGGGAACTACCGATTTTACACACCAAAGACTGTCCACAGATGTTGGAATGTGTGACTGCATATTTAAATAAAGCTGCATAGAGCCTTTTGTGGCTCCAGAGGAAGCTCTGTGAAGTATAATACATGACCTCAAGTGATGTCACTTGAGCCAGCATCAGCTGTGGCTCCTCATCTCTGCCTATGTTTAGGGGCTTGAAGCTAAATTAGCCACTCCTAGCATAACACACCAGAATCTCAGCAGTTGTGTTGCATTGTGGGTGATGTACCCACAGACACCAGGTTTTGACAATGAGGAAGACTGTGTAAAATAAAAAAGATGGTATCTTTGGTCCTGCGATTTTTTTAATCCCATGCCCACTGGTAAATATTTAACAACAAGTCACATTTATGGATATGTAATCTACTCTTTTAAGAAGGAAAAATATATAAAACAGCCGGGCAATGTGATTTTTTTTTTTATGCCAACTGTGGACTATTTTCAGCCCTGGATTTGGTTTGTCACTGAGAATTTATGGCAGCATACACCATGAATGTTGGATTGAGAGCCCGTGGTCACTGTGATGAACATTTCAAGGAACATGTTGGCCAGTGCAACAGTGTGGCTTGTGTTTCTCCAAGTTTTGGACAACAGTGGAGCTCTGTGGCACAGGGAAATAAGCTATATCTGGCTTTGAATACACAGAGAATACTTGCTAGTATTACAAATTCATTGTTGTTTTCAGTCTACTCATGGGGTATTGCTGACCACCAGTCTTGTCCCAAACAAAACACCTAACCCAGATGTGCTGGGTACTACGAGGTACTAGAGCCTGCACCATCCATCTTTTCGTCTTGCTTAGAGACTTCTCTAAAGATGTCCATCTACACGTAAGCCTCTTAATAAAAATTATTTGCAGCAGCACAGTGGAGCAGTCGTTAGCATTGTCACCTCACAGCGAGATGGTTCCTGGTTTGAACCTGGGGTTGGGGGTTCGAACCCAGGGTGGGGGAGCCTTTCTCTGCAGAGTTTGCATGTTTTCTTTCTTTTCTTTTCTCCCAGCACTTCGGCTTCCTCCCACAGTCCAAAGACATGCAGGTTAGTTGGTGACTCTAACTTGGCCATAGGTGTGAATGTGAATAGTTGTCTGTCTCTATGTGTCAGCCCTGCGATAGTTGGGTGACCTGTCCAGGGTGTGCCCACCTCTCGCCCAATGGTGTACCCCACCTTTCGCCCAGTGCCAGCTGGGATAGGATCCTTCAGGCCTTCTTGAGGTATTACTTTCACAAGAATGAGACGGACACGAGGCCACAGCAACTTTGAACTTTGACCACTAAAAACTAAACAGTTCATTTTTGAGTCCAAGCGAAAGTTTGTGCCAAATTTAAAGAAATTCCCCCAAGTTGTTCTTGAGATATCGTGTTCAAAAAACAGTGACCTTTACCTTTGACCACCAAAATCTCTCTAGTTCATACTTGAGTCAAAGTGGATGTTTGTGCAAAAATCTGAAGACATTTTCGTGAGGCATTCTCGGGATATGATGTTCACAAGAATGGGACGCACAAACAACCCAAAAACATAATGCCATGGCTATCGCCAGTGTGGAGGCATAATTAGAAAAAACAGGTAGAGGGCAGAATCTCTGCAGATAAGTCTACCGCCACACACTTCTAGTGGCTCATAGTGGTGATTAGAGAGATTACTTCTGTATGAGTCTATTGTTTAGGAAAATCCTGCATTGTATATTTTTAAAATATACTTTTTATAAGAAATGTTTAGTAAGGCTGGGCATCATTTTACATTGTTTGCTGCTTAGTGCAGATACAATACCAAGTTTCCAGGAGGATGCAAAAGCATCTTACTTTAAGGAGTATTCTCTACAAATCCTTTTTTTTTGTCATTTAACAAAAGACAACATTCTTAAATGTTCAGTGTTTCCAAACAAGCAGACATACAATATTTTTTCAAAATTAAAATAAATTAAATGGAAACTATATGATTGAGCAAATACTCCACTGATGGACAGTTCTAATAATTTGAATGATTGATTGATTGATTAGAGGTTTAGCTTTACAAAAGAAGGAGGAACTCTCTTTGAGCTATCCTGCCACCCACATCACATATGCAGTCAGCAGAAGATGAGTCAGCTTGAAGGGAAAAGGGTGCACCAGGTTGTGTAACTATGGGGGAATTGAACGCCTCATGACAGGGATAGTGCCCAATCTATCATTGTACCTGTTATCACTCAGAGCCCTACAGGGTGCTTGGGATGTTCAAATGAAGGAAACAGGAAGCCCCCTCCATTATCACATCACCTCAGTGATGAGAGAACCCGGAGCCTCTCCACCTCATCGCTCCATAATGAATGTATGAGCCTTCTAGTGTGAAACAAGATCGCCACGTGTTTTGTATTTAGCTGGCCTGGCTTAATGCTAGCGAGCGCGGCACAGTGCCTCTTTATCTCATGCTGTGCTGTTGCTATTTATCCTGCTGCCAGTGCTGACAATAGCACCATTAGTCATCAGCAGCAATGGGAGTGGGGCTTTGGCAGCACCTATTACACACAGGCAACTGCCTAATATCGTTTCTCCTTAATGCACACGGACAGACACTCGCACAGAGCGGGGGCCAAAAGCTAAACCACAGCTGACGTAGAACTAAACAAACACCCACAATAACCCTTTAGATATAAATGCATAGCGACTGTCCGGGTGGGTTGAAATGAAATCTAAGCTTGTTGTGACTTCTATCTTTTTCACGTCTCTAAATCAATGAGAAAATGACCATAGATTCACTGTTGTTTCATATACAATTTATTTCATTTGATAAAGCCATACACTTAGTGTGAGACCAAACATTCTAGAAGAAATGTACATTTTCCCTCTTTTTTTTAACAGTGATCTCTTCTTTACAAAACATCAAATCAAAGTTACTCATTGAAAAAAAAACATCCAATTGATCACTCCTCTGTTCACTAAAGCTCCCTCCCTCTCTGCAGGGACTGCCAACAACGTTCCCCTACAGCAGAGAAATAAAGCCCCGCATGGCCTTGAGACACAGACTATATTTTGAGGCGGTATGAACAGCCAATTTCAGGGTTTCACTAACAACACTTTTCTCTTACTTCTCGCCCTCACTGCTGAAGGCTTCATCCAGCATGTCACCCACATTCACTTTGCCCCATTTGATCCCTTCAGAGTAAAGCACTGTCCTGCGCTTCACACGAGCATCTAAGCAAAGAGATTATCAATTGGCAGAAGTAAAATGGCCTCTCAGATCTTTTCAGACCAAAGTCCCAAACTGCACGAAATGAATCCCACGTACAAGCTCATTTAAAACACGGTAACACTCATGTGTGCGGCCCTGCACATACAGTACAGTAGTTTAAGAAACACTGCTTTAAGTACTAAGATACATAAGGGAAACCCCTTTCTGAGCAGCTATGAAGAGAATATGTCATTCATCTGTCTGTACAGCACTTCTGGAGAGCGGTAAAGCAACGGAAAACTGCTTTGAAAAACTATTAGACAGGACTTGTAAAGTAGAAAAAAAAATCCGAACTGAATGGACATTTTTTTTTTAAATGAACCAAATAAATAAATGACAAAATATCCTTAACTAACACACTGTCTTTGTGTATGGTTGGTTGAAAAAGTTTTTAAGAAAATTACTGAACATGCACTCACTTTATTTCATATTATACAGTCATATATACAGAGTGGATTAGAGGCTTGTAGTGGAGAGGATTGAGGCTTTTTAAATGATTGATGAGCACTGGGCTGGAGCATCAGAATAAGGGAACTAAGCCGGGATACAGCACTGCTCTTCCAAAAAAGTATCACCAAGATCACATTTCTTCCATTGATTTCTAGTCACAGAGTGGCTTTAGAGGCACACCAAGTCAAATTTTTAATTTAGTGGCACAGATTTGAGTCTTTTCATGGCTTTCCAAACAGGTGGGGTCCACATGGAACAACACGATTGATTCCTCTCAGCCTGAACAGCCATGAATGGATTAAACCTGCAGCACAAGGGGGTGAACAAAAATCACATCTTTTTTGTTGGGCTGCAAATTCATAAGCTCAAAAGTGCTGTGGGGGAAAATAAAGCCTGTGGTGTGCTTTGTTTGAACTCCGCACAAATGGGGAAGAAATCTCAGACTTCCCGCAGTATTTCCTCCAACTCAAATGAATTGAGGCCGTATCTGTCCTTGATGAGCGCTGCTGCTTTGGGACCTTGATGAGTTTCTGCTGAAGAAAGCATGTTTCTTTCCCCCCTGTGAGTAAACACAGAATAAATTGCTGAATTTCAGGTGCATACAGATTTTGCACCATATTCATGTGCATTATATGAACACACAAAAAAATGCAAAGAAGCTAGTGCTCTAAGTAAAAAGCTGAGGAATCAGACTCGACTAGATTTCCAGGGGAAAATTACTGACGGTTTAGTTTCATTCAGTGCACTCTCAGAATAAAAGGAACATTTCTTTTACCGCGCGTAGACCCAGTTACAAAAGGTATAATAATACCCTTTCGTTTCTGAAGGTGTATCAAATGAGAGAGTAAGGCAGTGGAAGAAGTATGAGCCTGAAAGCAGGGTTGTGTCATTTACAGTATCTAAAGTACAAGAGTGGAACGGAGCATGGGTTAATAGTAAGACAAGTCTTTTTTTTTTTTTTTTTGTCGGTGCTGAGACCAGAAACAGTGGAGCTGCTTAGATCTACACATCAGCCCCCTCGCTGAATGACGTGAAGCCAGGCTTTACAGACAGTGAGCAGTCCAACCCAGACCCATGCACAGCAAGAAAAAGCTACATTCCCCAGCACAGTTTGCAGCGCTGTGCTCTGAACAAGCCACACTGTACATTTCTAGGGATTCTGGATTTGTGCACACGCTTGCACTGTGTGGGAAGAATAGCTTTTTATGCTGTGACACACATCATGTTATGCAATCCTTGTGTAATCTATCACTCAGGTGTCGTAAGGCGACATCTACAGCGTACAGCTCGGCTCGTTGGTGCAGTCATTGTGGCTGTGGTTACTGTCCACGTCCCTCTTCCTCAGCTCTCTGCCTGCCTTGTGTTGCTGACTGCTGCCGCTGTGGCTGTGGCCATGGTGGGCCGACGATGAAGGCCGCTTGCCGTGCTCCTGGTGGTGCCCGTGATTCTGGTGATGGCCGTGAGCGTGCTCTTTGGTGCCACCGTGTGACTCCATGTCGCCCCCGTCGACGAATGCCACTCCTCCCTTGGTATCGTCCAGGGCCTCAAAGTTGTCATTGTGGTTGCTGTCAATTATGTCGCTCTCTGGCACCACCTGCAGGTAGGCTCTGACACGGTGGTGGCGGGCACCTGCGTCATCGCTGAAGTCGATGACACGACATTCGTAGGTGCCCTCATCGGACGGCTTGACTCGGGAGAGACGGAGTTTGTGGGAGATGTTGCTTCCCACCACCTTCACAACCTGGGAAATGCAGACAAAATATAGAGAGAAAGATACAAATTATGATGAGATTGAAAAACAAAATCATACTTAAACCTGTAATTAATAACTTTTATAAAAAAAAAAATCTGTCATATTTCCCGAAACTGGTCACTACATCCACACAGTAGTACATGAGACAGATAACCTGTGAAAAAAATCATGTTCCTCTGCCTCCTTGTTGTGCTTCTGGTATTACTGCATGTGAACGAAAACAACCAATCAGAGCTGAGGAGTCGTTAACGCAGTTTTCATAAACATATTTTAGTGTACTGTTTAGCTGTAAAATAAGAAAGTTTGTGACTCTGAGTCGAGCCAAAACAAAGTACAGCCCAACGGCCGGACCAACTTGCTCCTTTTACAGCTAAACAGTACACTAAAATGCATTTCTGAAAACATTTAAGGCGAGAAATAAACAACATGATATCAGAACCTTGTTTCAAGTTTGACCAGCGCTGCTTAGTTTGACAGTAAGATCTGGTGTTTTCCTTCAGCCATGGTAGATTTAAGCAAATGCCATTAGCAGCACTACGAGGAGGAGGACCATGATTTTTTCCACAGACTATCTGTCTCATTTACAACTGTGTGGATGTAGTGACAGTTTCAGCAAATATGACGAGAATTTATTTTTATAGAAGTTACCATCTACAGCTCTTATACCGAGTAACTCTGCTGAACGGGCACTGCTGTGGCCACAAGTTGTAGTTACAGGAAAAGGGTTAGCCTAATGCTAAAATGTAGTGTAACACTAGCACAAGTTTAGTGATTAAACTGTCTATCAGTTACATAACAATGTAAAGTTTGCTAACATCATCTTACATTAGCCACCATAAGCTACTGGTCATATCAGCAAAACCCCGAATGTATTGAATAGCTCAAGGGATTATTTTATAAGTTACTTTTCATTTGGAAGAGGAGTAATGAGCTATGCTGTTCTTTAAAAGTGAGTGTACTCTCACTTAAAGCTAATACCTTGAAAAGTAAGTGATACTGATGTAAAGATGTAAAGTTTTCTGATGGCCTCGGCAGGAGGCGGATGGGTATTTTCAACATTAGTGCAAAATAGTGTTGGAAAGACAATCATTAATTGCAAATGAATCACATTTCCTGAAACACCGCTCAGTAGCCTTTTTTTTTCATCAGGTCTATTTTTCCCATGGTCAACATACCACAATGTAACGCTGCGCTTCAACAAACATGGCAGCCAAAGACTGTGTAATGCAAATGAGCACTGAAGCACTGCAGGAACATTGTTGCACTCAGACTAACTACTAGACCATCATCATCAGTGTCAACTGTTGGATCATGGAGTTTAATGTGTAAATGTTGTTAGGCTGTTGCTTGTACTTTATCAAGTATAATGAGCCAAACATCACTAATGGTATCCACAGAAGGTCTGCTCTGTTTCCTGCTGGCTTTGTCCTTTTTTACTGTCCTTTTGCTTTGTTTCTATTTTTTCTGCCTTTTCCTCAAAATGTCCTTCTGTCTCTTTTTGTGCTTATCCCTGTCGGCCTATCAGCTTATCTTAGCCAGCGTGTCCCTCATAGTCTTTGCCCTTTGTTGCATACAGCGCTGAAGGAAAAAGGAAATACCTGCAGCATCACAGCAGATGCACAACACTAAAAAAAGAGCAGCCTTTTACCCCGAAACACACAAAAACACTTATTGCTATTATCTCACAGACACTCCATCAAGTCGAGCTGTCAGACAATGAAACTGGGTGAGTGGTAATGTGAGCACAAAGTGCACTCACTGTCACATGCATCTAACAGCTACCACAGGCCCACTTGCAGTAACTGTGGACTTTGTTGGACATCTGGACTCCTTTTCACTCCTTTTGCTGCCTGTCTTTGTTGGACAGGATGAAACACAAGTTTAAGACAAACATTAACTATCACAGCTAACCTGATGGCATTATTTAGTTTACTCTCTGATCTTTATTTCATTGTGCCAAAATCATGATTTGGGTTAGATTTCTGACTATCATCTAACACCAAGAGGGTGAAATGGAAGTCTCTACTCGAGAAAATTTTCCCTGAATTAAATGGCACTTTACAAGTGTTGTAACACCCATGCCACTATACAGTCTTAGTTAGTCTAAGTGTGATGCTGTACATATTGTATTTTTAAATCATGATACAACCAGGGTACATGCAGAAACCTTCAAGTTAAATTCCATATCTTTTAAATACCCTTTTCATGCAGTTTTAGAACTCCCCACCATTTCAAGTTCTAACCTGTTATATCAGCAACACACTTTAGATTATATTTACTATACACTGATTATGAGAGAGCAAAGTAAAGAGTCCTCACATGTGGTAACTAATTAGACCGCTCTATCAATGTAATATAATTAAGACAGACACGGTGGGAACAAAGCACAAGAGAATGACTAGTATAGTATATCACAAAATATGTCACAGTATAGTAAGCCATAAAAAATATATCACACTAGTAGGTCACAAAATATGTCATAGTATAGTATCAAAAAAAAAAGTCAGTCAAGTTGGAGGATATGCACCATACTGACAGTTTATCATTGATAAATGTTAAAATCTAGTCTAATCTAAATTTTATCTGGTCATTCTTGAGTCCATGTAGACGTTTGTGCCAAAATTGTAATGTAAAACAGTCACAGTATAGTATGCCATAAAAAACGTATGTCATAAAACATGTCATAGCACAGTATATAATAAAAAAAGTCATAGTGCCATAAACATGTAACAAAAATGTCAACACAGAATGTCATTGAAATGTCATTTAAAAAGTCATGGTTAAGTATCTCATAAAAATAATATATAATAAAAATGTATCTCATTAAAATGTTATATTACAGTATGCCATAATAATGTCATTAAAAAAGCCATAGTATTATATGTCCTTAAATGTTATATTATTGTATGCCACAAATTAAAATTAAAAATGTAATAAAAAACTCCATACTATAATATGCTATTAAAATAAAGTAATATTGTAGGAAGTAACAAAAAGTCACAGTATAGTTTGCCACAAAAATGTCATCAAAATGTCACAAAAAAGCCATAGTATAATATGCCATAAAAATGTCAAAATACAGTAAGTCACTTAAAAAAGTCAAAACAATGCCACAGTATAGTATGTTTAATAAATTATTAAAAATTAATGTGATAAAAAGTCATAGTAAAGTATGCCGTAAAAAAATCATAACATCATATGCCACAATAATGTCCTAAAAATGTCGTAGTATAGTAAGCCATAAAAATGTCATACTGCAGTAGGTCACCAAAAAAGTCATGACAAGGTCACAGTATAGTATGTTGTATAGTATAGTATGTTATAAAAATGTCCCAAAAACATCAAGTAAATGACAGCTGTTGTGGTGCTGTTTGAGAAGCTCATCAATGTGACACAGTCGGTGACGATGCACTTTTTCTTAGCTGCTCTTGTTATTGACAGATCTAATGAGTGGTGGAGTAGCAGAACCGTCATTATGCAAACAGATGTTTAAAGCCATTTCTACATCCACCTCCTACACCTGTGGGAGTGTAAATGAGGTTCTTGCATGTATGACCAGCTCCACAATATTTGTGATGTGTCAAACAGAACCAGGACACAGCGAACACCCTGCACAACTTTGCTAAATGTGACTGTGATGCAAACAGAGCTGAGAGTTACATAAGAAGAAGGAAGATGGAATCCACATTGTTCCATTTTTTCTCCGTTATAGGGTGTTTGGGGGGGAGTTTTGATCCAGAGGGAGGGTCCAAAGACAAAGGGTGGTGTAGGATATGCTGTGCACATAGTAAAAAAGCTCAGAGGCAAAGATTCATGATAATGGGCTGTATATATTGACTCGACTTGACTGTCACATTTGTCTGTGAAGTGTGACGCTACTGTACAGTAAGCTAAGCTAACTGTCTCCTGGCTCCAGCTTCATATTTTACAGATGGATAATTGTATTGATCTTTTCGTCTAACTCTTGTCAAGGAAAAAAGCCATTAACTGTATTTCCTAAAAAGCTGGACTTCTCCTTTAATGGTATAGAGTGCTGCTGAAATGAGTTAGCATTTTTGCACTTCTGGTTCCCTCGTCTCAGAGTCAACGTTTTTTTTGAATGGGCTTTTGGTTAGTAGCCTCATATAAGGTCTGTGGTTACAACAAGCTTAAGAGACTTAAGAGATGTTTTTTCTATGACTTAAATATGTGGACAAGTTTTGTGAGTTTTGGAGCTTTTACATGTCGTAAAAGAGGATGTTTCTAACAAGTAGTGAAATGAGACGACCGAAAGTCATCACACCAAACATGGCAGCCTCGTTGTTGTGGGGATGCAGAAGCCATGTGATGTGTAGTTCCTTTATACCTTAACGTTAGCTTTTTAGAAGTGTCATTCCTTTGGGAAGATTACCTTGCTGAACAAAAAGTGTAAGTGTCATAAACTATTTAATTAAATTGTTTGCCACAGAGCTTATTTTCTGCAATAATCCAAAATTCAATGGAAAACTCCCATTGGCTCTTTGCCAGGGGAACCAGGGTGATATTAACTTTCAGGTCGGCTTACAAAAAAATGCCATCCCTGCACCACTCTATTAGTATCCTTGTTGCATTCAAATTCAGGAACACACATCTCTGCACTTGCCAGTTACCACCCACTGAATAATTTTACAGTGATAATCTGTTTAAACACGTATAAAAGGTTTCTGGGTGCCTATCATAAATTAGGCTCTGCTGTGTTTTAAAAGGAAAATAGGCTTAGCATATATGCAGACCACTCATGAAGTGATAGAGAGATACAGAGACAGAATATTAGAGCTACAGTATAGATGTGATGCTGAAATCACTTCTGTATCATAGCCTGGATACACTCATACAGCTGCACCTCCTCCCAGCCAATCACTCCCACACACATGCACTCAGACAAAGGTGCCGCTTAACATTCTATTTGTGGCCTTGAAAGTATGAAGAGACAACATCTTGGAAGTAAAAGCTTTGCAAGTTCACAGAAAAGCACTGCTGAGATGAGAGTCTGGGGACATCATGACACGTGCCGCGCCGAGATATAAATACAACTTTGTTTATCACCCACCTTCCTTCTGTGACAGCAGTAAATGTACGTGCCCCGGACACGGTCCCTGCATGTGCGTTTTTTGTATGTAAAAAGCTTCTGTTTTGTAGCACTACTCATCATCTCGTGTCTACATATGTGTGAGCATCTATCATGTTTTTGCTCTACTACGAATGTGGGCCGACATTCATTATATACAGAGAGCTCATAATGATTTTCCAGCTGTACAGCCTGCAGTCTTCAGCTCCACCCACACAAACACCCACACACACGCTCCCGCACTCAGTCGCCCAAACCACAGCTGGTGCTTTCATTATAGCGAATCAGCAGCAGCTAGCCTCTTGGGAGGAAGGAGAAAGGCTTCATGTTTTTTCTGTGCGTTTGTTTCTGCACTACACATCTTTGTTTGTCTGGTATTTTTAACTTTGCACACCATTTTATTTACTTCTATATGACTTGTTGTTTAAGACTGTATGATTTGCCAATCGGGATGTTACAAATCCAAAAACTTATGGTACAATAACATCATGATAAAAAGTCCACAGTATGATAATTATCACAATATTCAAAAAGAAATATGATGACTTAAAAATAGGGATGTCCCGATTCAATCCTTGGATCAGGTATCGGCACCGATCACGTTATTTTTACAAAATCGGAATCGGTAATAAAAGATCGGAGGAATCAAAACATCAAAAATGGCCAGGTTTTTCATCTATGTTGTTCATTGTTGCCTCCACTTTCCAATGTATTGTAACCGAGCATCCTGGGTTTGCCTAACTGAGTGCAGCTAATGAGCAATAAACGGACAGGAGTCGAGGCAACAGGTTCAGCGGCCACCGCTTCTCTCTTTATTCCGAGCAACACAGCCACACCTAATGCCGGAACCTCGCCTCAGGAGGGACAATTTGTTTTTTACAAGTCAGAATTTGTTTACATTTTGTGCTGCTGAACCACCAATAAGCTTTTTGGATACTATTTAAATAAAAAACAAACCTTATGGGACAACTTGGATGCATTCTTTTTTTTTCTTTCTTAATGCTTTGCAAAGTATCGGATCGGACTCGATATTGAACTTGGTTTCAAAATAAAGGACTCGGTATCGGATCGGATACAGAAAAAATGACATCGGGACATCCCTACTTAAAAAAAAAAACCTTCATTAAACAATTAATCTGACGTTTATTTGTCACCATTTTCTCGCCTGTCTCTGTGAGTCTGTCTACTTGACTGGTATAATTGCGCCATCTGTTGCTCAAACAAAAATGATGCAATCAGGGCATGACATACATCTTTTTCAAAAATTAAACCAACTGGGATTTGGACAATTATTACAATTCATTAACATAAAAATATACAATTAAGAGGTAACAATGCCATGGCTGGGATGATTCTACCTTAAACCTAATATTTTTTGGGCAGTTTTAGGTGGTTGGAGAAACGCTGAGCTCCAGGCATTAGAGGCAGCTAGCAGCTAAAATTACACTTTTCAACATCCATAATGACATTTGGTGTCGGATTTATCATTTTGGATTTATTATTCAAAGTTTCCAAAAAGTCCCCGCAGTTAAAGGCTTGATTACAATGGTTTCCTCTAGTTTGTTTTGCTATTGAGGCTAATGTTAGCTAATGTGCTAAAAAGTTAGCATTACGGAGAAATCCAATATCCTTCTTAATTGTGATTAGGTGGACATGATAACCCTTAATACACATGAGGTTGTTCATCCCTACAACAGTAAATACTTTTTCCCTAACCTGATATTAAGTGTGTGCTGCACATGCGAGCATTTCTGATGGTGGCCTCTGTCCAGTCCTCTCATGTCATTGCATTTCACCATAGTTGTCTTCGTTTTTGTTGACAGGCAGTGGCGGCTGGTATGCGATAACATTTAAGTTTTGAGCCATGACTCCTTCTATTCTGGCACCCAAAAACACAATGTGATGACATTATAAGACTCCTATGCAGCCTACAGCCCTGTGGTAGTGAGTCATGTTTTGCCTCCAGCTAATAAAATTAGGTCATTGTGATGCTCACTGTCTCTAAGCATTTTATTTACAGAGAATTTTATATTGGGCAGGCGGTGTGGTGGTTAGCACTGTCTCCTAACAGCAAGAGGGTTACTGGTTCGATGCTTCTGTCTGGAGTTTGCATGTTCTCCCTGTGTCAGCGTGGGTTTTCTCCAGGTACTCCGGCTTCCTCCCACAGTCCAAAGACATGCAGATTAACTGGTGACTCTAAATTGCCCGTAGATGTGAATGTGAGTGTGAATGGTTGTCTGTCTCTATGTGTCAGCCTGTGATAGTCTGCTGACCTGTCCAGGGTGTACCCTGCCTCTCGCCCAATGTCAGCTGGGATAGGCTCCAGCCCCCCCGCGGCCCTCAAGAGGATAAGCGGTTACGAAAATGGATGGATGGAGAATGTTATATTACACATATTACACATAATTTATTATACACGTGCCCAACAGATAAGAGCATGAGGCATTACACTTACCCAAACACAGAGTTTACTTGCCCAGTGGCCAAGTGTTAATGTTGATGAGCCCTGACAATTCTGGAGAGATAGAGATAGTAAAACGTAGCTATGCTAGTGAAATAACCATGTAACATCTTCACAAATAGTGTCAAAGTCCCACAATGGCATTGAGACTTTTTTTATTGTGATAAAGCAAAATTCAGTGTATGGTTACATCCATATTAGCCAGTAACATTTGTTGCTAATTTTTGTAATTGTAAAGTTGGTGGAGAGAGATTTAGCACAATGAACATGTTAGTGTGGAGGTGATGTGCAGTATTTCCTGCAGTCTGCTCACTTCTTCAATTAATTAGAAGGAAAAAGTGCAATTTTGAGTCACAATATGTTCCTGCAGTCTTCCTCAGTAAAAAGGCCCTCCCTGCTTGCTGTGGAAAACTGTTCGTCTGGGTGAGCAACTTAAAGTCTCTATAGATACCTGAGGAGATATAAAAAGTTCTGCTGACTTCCCAGCCTGTCCCCATCACTGTTTATTATTTGGATCTGATGTTGCTGTCATAAAGTTGCAGGGGCGTTTATGAGAAGCTGAAGATGATGCACTGCGGGCCGTGCCCCCTTGAGGAGGACACTTTACCACCCACCAGCACCGGAGCTATCCGTGCTTTGGCTGACACTGTGATTCTACAAACCCATCAAAGATGAAGTGATTGTGTTGATGTGTTGTCTGGAGTGTTTAGAGCACCGAGTTAAAATCAGATCCTTGTGTATAAAACAGCATAAGCACAACATCTGCGGATCATCCGGAGCAAGGAATTTTAATGTAATCATGAGGGTTTTGTGCCTCATTTCATCATATAACACCAAGACAAACAGAGGGCTTTTCTCAGAGAGTGACAGCCGATAGTGGTTAACTCACACTTATCTTTGTAGCATCCTTTGGCATCTCCTCCTCAGGAGCCACCTAGGAACAAAGATTTTTAATAAATCATTATTACAGTTAGACTGAGGTTATGAACATTTAAATGGGATTATAATCAAGTGTTAACTAATAGATAAATCCACATTAATCCATGCAGGTTAAATATGTCACTAGATAACAATGTGCTGGATTATCTCATGTGGGGTTCTCCAAAAACTTTTTTAAGGATTGCTGTTCTCAGGATCCTTCCTATTTTAAAGCTGCACATATCAATATTTTTTATAATAACACTGAATTAAATGGCTGTATGTGACAAAGGTCACTCACAACACTTACATAAATTACCCAACTCTGCAGCTCTGTGCAGCTTTTTTAATTCATTCTCACTCCCAACCTGTCAAATACTGACACTTGGTCAGTGGCCCATCATGTCTAAATATGACACCCTAGGTACCCTTCCTGTGTCACTTTTGGATGCACACAGATAGTGTGTCAATTTACGCGCATTACATGTGTCTTTTCAAAATAAAATTCTGTTTTCACAGTTTCTGTTTGTTTAATGCATACAGAGGCTTTTCAAAATAAACTTGTAAGAAAAAACACTTTGTTTTTATACCACTGCTAAAGGGTGCCCTGGTGTGTTGGTAACTGACAACGACGGCCACTGACCAAATGCTGGTATTTGATGAGTTGGGAGTGGGACTGGATTGGCTTTTTGGCCCCATTTAGTTTAGTTTAAATGTGTAATCACAGGTGATACAGTGCTGTATACCACAGCTGATTGTCTGACTGCTTATATTTCTTGCCATCTCAGACTTTTTTTAGTGATGTTGCCATGCTTTCAAATCTAAGTTGTGAAATTTTGAGCACAGTGTATTATTACAGATAGGAATGATGGCCAAAACTACACTGAAAAAGTTGTTTTCAAAAGATATCCTTAAATATCCTTTGAGCTAAAGTCCTGAATGGAGGCTGAGGGCTGATGGAGAGCTCATTTACAATTGTTGCATAAGAGTTTATTATTTGGCATCTGAAGGCTGTCAGAGTTCCTGTTATGAACCTACTTCATTGGTTGTCCAGGGCTGTCTGTCTGTCCAGTCGAGATGGTTCCTGATGTACCACCACTGGATCTCCAGCGAATACGAGGGCGTTCCCGCCCCTCTGAAGGAGCAGGCCATCTCCACATCCTGACCTCTCTGAGCAGTCATATCGTGAGGCACCTCTGTGAACATGGCTGGAAAGACACAGAAAGAAGACCCTGTTAACAAACGATGTCGAATAGAGAAAGTCTGAATATGATTTGACATAGCAGCATCACCACAAAAATGTTCTGAATATGATTCAGATACTGATATTTTTCAGTTCAGTATGGTAAAAGGCAATCCCCAAAGCCTTTGGTGAAGCAAAAAATACCATAACAACAACAACAAGTATTACAGCAGCCCTAACACCAAAAAGAACTCAGTCATGGAAAAAAGGTGTGGTCTTCCTCGGGTGCATATTCAGGATGCTGAGCCATATATAAGTGTCTATGATGGTGAGACTCATGATGAAAAGGTGGAAGTGCAATATGTGTCAAAGGAAGTGAGGGAGAGGTATAAAACGATGGGGATCGACAAGGTGAAGACCAACTGTAATTTTGCCTGTTAGTACAAAATGAATTGTGGTTGATCCGTAACAGAGGGTTCTCTTTTGTTATACGTTGGGTAACTTTTACAGAATGTAAACTTTTTGGGAATTACAATTATTCACTTTCATGCTGAGAGATAAATGAGAAGACTGATAACACTCATGTCTGTATGGTAAATATGATGCTACATTCAGGAGCTGCTTAGGTTAGCTTGGCCTAAAGCCGGGTAGTAGGGCAAAACAGCTAGACAGCTCTGTCCAAAGGTAAAAAAAAAAAGAACAGCAACACAAAGGTCAAAGAAATGTTTTGAAAATTGATTTTAAGATGCTACAAGTTCTAGCAGCACGAGTTCCTGAGGCAGGCTTCTGGCAACCTTTAGTCTTCAGCCTGGACACAGTAGGTTAGTACCTGCGGCGCTTAGGTTATGTTCAAGGGGAAGACAGAGATATCTGAGAGCCAGTAAAAACCGAAAATGTCAACTCTTCTTGGAATTAGTCTTAAAATATAGAAGAATAAAAAAGAATGAGGAGCCTTTACCTCAGTTTTGTTAAAGCTTCTCAAAAAGAGTGTTTCAATCTATTAACAAGGACACAATATTATATTAAATGCTGCAGTAAGCAGCACTGACGCTGAGCAGTCATCTGCATCAGCATTCATAAAGATCCTTTTTCGGTGGTTAGTTTAAATACATGAAGGTTAAATAGGTCGAGAGCATAAGGATCAATACAGTTTTATAAGGCTGGGATATAATGTAAGATACACAACATCAAAGAAGACTTGAATGCTAGGAACATTCAGCACTATTTCATATTATAGTAGAGGTTTGAAAGTGTTTAATAAATTCATTACTGTTGTCTCTTTAATTCAGATTTATTTGCTCAAACATAGTATATTCAGGGACCAGTGCAACTTCTCAAATCTATTTCACACTGGGTTTAATTGACAAATGAAAAGTAAGAAAAAAGTTCTATTTTTATTTCTTCTCCTGGCCTTTGACTAACATTTTAAATACAAGTCAAAAGGACCAAACGCACTGAAAGCAATAATTAAACAGCCTCATTTGTTGTGCATCATTTACTCCTCCTATGGTGCACTGGTACCAGATTTTCAATTCCAACATCAAAGAACAAGCAGTCTCTTACAAATAAGTAGCAATTTATATAAAGTCAGGCACAAGTGTGTATGCTTTAAATACCTTTTATTAATCTTATATACGTTTCTATTTGAGTAGCCTAGAAGGTCACAGGAGGGCAACTGCTGGGTGCGTGCTGATGCTTTCATCAGCTGGTTAGCAGTAAAGCCACAGGAGACCAGCTATCTCTCCTCATCTTGTTTTTTTACTCTAAGTGGGTAATTAATTACTATTGTTAGGTTAATGCAGCATGTTCCTACACAGTGGATGTTAGTAAACGTGTCATGATAGATGACACAGGGTGGGTCTGTTATGCTAACGTAATTACCAAGGATCTACGCTTTTGTGTTCTTAGTTCTAGTACCTGACATGTGAAATCACACGGTTTAGATCTATAGTTGTATATCTGTTGGCAGTGGTAGTTGTTTTCATTTAGCATTGCAAAATTAAGTGTGCATAAAGTCTGAGCTAAGCTAACGGAGCTAAGGTCAGCTGTCAGCTGCTGCCCAAAAATGTTGTGCATTGTTGCTGCACATCTTCCTCTCTGTCTCATCTCTCTGCCTCACTGACTTTGGTCACTGGGTCCTCATTTGATGCTTCAACACATAAACAAGGTCAGAGTGGGCACGTCAAAGCAGTTTGACGCCCCTCAAAATGCTTTTGGTACATGCTTGGCCATTTAAAACAATATGTATACCTCAAATCTCGTGTCAGGCGCTTTCAGTGCTTTTGGGCCTAAAAGACTTATGTTGTTGGCCCCTGCTGAACAGGAGACACATCATTTGTAATTTTATTATTATCTCAAATCGCAAGATAAGGTAGTTTGGGCATCTGAACAGGATGGCTACTAGACCCAGAACACGCTGGAGAGATTATATAGCTGATCTGGCTTGTGAACTTGTCTTCGTCCTTCAGGAGGAATTTGAAAATGTTGCAGGAGGAGGGACATCTGGAGTACTTTACTTAGCCAGCAGCCCCTGATAAACCGCAGAAAATGGATGGATTGAAATCCCAAGCTTCAGCTGATTATAGTTTGATGAGAAAAGTGTCCAATACACTGATATTTCCCTCAAAGGAATTAAACAACAAGCAATGATCCAGGGATTTTTTAATAGGATGCAAGATTTGGCAAAACACCTCAGCAACTAAGATAAACTTAATTTCATAGCCACAAAAGACCAACGGCAAAGCCTATAAAACCAGAGGTAATAAAGGGGCAGCATTTCAAAGAGAACCCCAGGACTCTCCTCAGTAGAGTCATGGACAGGAAACCATGAAATGAAGTCATTTTAGCATTGGTAACCCCACATAGCAAACATTAGAGCATCGAAGTCTGGTGACCCACTAAAAATACTTTAGTGACTGTGACTGTGTCGCCCTGCATGCTGTTACTCTTTCTGTATGCTCACAACTTAAAGCCTATTGTGTTAGTGCTAACAATATCCTCTTACAAAGCTTCTTTGTAATTTACTGCTGATACCAAACCTGAATTCAGGTGCAGCAGGAGCTAAAGCCACATTCTGAATGGTGTGTCACCACCAAGCTGCACAATACTATTAAAATAAAACCCAACAGACCAGCTGTCATCCTCACATTGCACCAGGGAACCCTGGTTATTATAATCTTTGCATAAAAAAATTTGTTTAAAGGGAGTCATAAATCTCCTTTACTCATGAATATCCAGTGGCATTCATGAAAAGGGAAAGTTACATTCATTGTTTCATGTTAAACAATAGGTAAAAGGAGACAGCAGCACTTTGTACTGTGTCTTGCTGCAGTAGGCTACTTATTGGTCTGTATTTTTCGTAGCCTCTCAGTGGTTTCCTCAAACTGATAATAGGATTATGTGCAAATTCTGGGGCTGTTAAATTCTACCCAGAAAATGCATTTTTCAGGAAGTGTAAAAACAGAGACAAAAATTAAATTAAAGATTTAAGTTGTGACTTCACAAATTAGCACTGTGCCACACTCTCACCTTTCTTTGGATCAGTAGTAAACACATCAGTATTTGAGTACTGAAAAGCCATAGCCGGTATGAAGAGTTTAAGCCAGGCAGAAATATCTTTACAATCACAGGTATTTACTGTCAGAAGGTAATACCATGGATATCTTTACAACTAACCATTACCATGGGACGCAATTTTCTGGTTGTCCATCAGTTTTTGAAGTGAGCTGTGAGCTGCAGCCTGTACTATAAACTCGTGTATAACAAAACATGACCCAAGTTGACAAGGAGTGCTTGAATGGACCATTAATTTTGGTCTCTGTGAGACTGTCCTTTGACTGGGACACATCTGGAGTGACAGTTATGTGTCAGCTGACAACTGGACTGACAGTGGAACAGTGAACAGTCTCGGAGGGGCTCAAGCTGAATGTTAGATGTCACTTATCATTTGGTGGATACTTTTATCCAAATTGGGCTACTGATTTTTTTTGCAATCTCTAAATCTGGCAACTCATAAATGATATGCTCTGAGCAGTGAGCTCTGTGGAACCAGAAAAATCCTCTACCTTGCAAGACCTTTCTCATCTTTTTCTCATCCTTCAAGTGAAACCACAGACTAAGAATAATCGTCAAATTGAAAGTGAGCCTTTTCTTTTGAGTGGGTCTCAGCAGGTCAGTATTTCATACTACAAGACAACTTTTTAGGACTGTGTATCGTAATACAAGACAAACAAACCAAAAACTCATATGTAGGTCCATTTACTGGCTTTTTCTGGGGCGTTCAACCACATCCCTCAGTCTTTACAGTCCTCAGCATGTGGTGTTTGCTCAGAATAGTTTTTGCACCAGTCTAGAAAAAATGCAGTTAATAACTCTGCTGAAAACTAAAAAAAATGGACCTTAAGTTAAGATTCTTTAACAAACATTCTTTGTGTTTGTGATAAAACCATCAAAACTGTTGACGGTCTTGCTGTCACTGTTCCTCTGCCAAAGGTCATCTTACACTGGCTCTCCAAAGCAGCAGCAATTTTCTCACATGAGCTCTTTGGATCAGCACATCCATCATATCTACTGTGCTTCACCGTCTTCCCCTGTGTGTAGAATATGTCTGGCTGCAACAGGTGTTAAAACTTAGCCTACATAGTCTTGTTTTAACAGTATAAAATCAGTGATGTTATCTTGGTGTCTAATTACCATTAAAAACCAGAGCCCATCTTGCGATGGGATCCCTCCAGCTGTGATACCCCCCTACTTCCTGCCCGCTTGCTTGGACCAAAACCACCTTTAAATTTCATTGTGATCACAACTGCACTCCTGTAAAGTTTCGTGACTGCATTAGTTGTTGAATTATTGTGCTGACAGACAGACAGACAGACACTTGGCAAAATACTCATAACGGCTTCTGTTGCAGTTCCTGCTATAATCAGTGTCACCAGGACCACATTTAGCCATGACGATACACACCAAAGACTGCATATAAAGATGGCCAACACATCTCCATTTCTCCCACTGTACAAAAATGAAGCT